GAACTTGATTGAAGTTGTAAATCTAAAATAACATTATGTTGGGGAAGAAAGAAAATAGTACTAAAGTATTGGCCATTTTTCTGATCATTGCTAACTGATGATAACCCGTAACTTGCTCAAAGACCTTTCTGCAGCACATAGGTGAATGGCATTTTCTTAATAGTATCTGGAATGTTTTCCATTATGTTATTTTTAGTCATAATGGAATATGACTGAATAACTCCTTTCAGTTACAGTATTATATATTTGCCTTGCAATATTTATATTTGCAAAGGAATAAATTGAGAGATCCCAGTGCTTATCTGTTACTTAAGTGGTGAACCCCAAGCAGAAAATGGCAGGTTGTTGAACTTATGTGACTGTTAACAGCAGTATGAGCAAACCCTCATGTAAGTGGGAAAATAAAACCAAGAAGTCATTGTTACTTTGAACAGCATCAACCTTACCACACTTGCCACCTTTTAAAGAATAATTAGGGCCAGGTGCGGTGTCTCAAGCCTGTAATCCCAGCACTTTGGGAGGCCGAGGCGGGTGGATCACGAGGTCAAGAGATCGAGACCATCCTGGTCAACATGGTGAAACCCCGTCTCTACTAAAAATACAAAACATTAGCTGGGCATGGTGGTGCGTGCCTGTAATCCCAGCTACTCAGGAGGCTGAGGCAGGAGAATTGCCTGAACCCAGGAGGCGGAAGTTGCGGTGAGCCGAGATCGCGCCATTGCACTCCAGCCTGGGTAACATGAGTGAAACTCCGTCTCAAAAAAAAAAGAAAGAATAATTAGAAGGTGAGCTGCTGAACACTGAGCATTATTCATGTCATGATGGCCTTGCAAGTTAAATACTGTGCTGTGCTTTGAAAAAGGAACTAACAATAAACTTCACATTTACGTATGGATCTTTGTTTTGTAGACATTAGTGTTTAACTGATGCATATTGCATAATAACTACATCAGGCATTTTAATATGGACTAAGTGTGGCATGGAATCAAAGAGATCTTCCTCTTTACTGGGTTTTCTAGGTCTGTGACCTCATTTTTTCCTAGTAATAAGTAAAAAGACTTAGATTGTAAATTTTCTAAGTGTGCACCTGCACTGTGCTTAGTTGGCTTGAATAGTTATTGATAATGTGTTCATCTCATTTGGACTTAGCACATTGTGTTTCTCAAATGTATTTGGAGTGGGAAAACAGCTTCTAATGAAAGCCACAGGAGATTTTGACATACTGTTCAAAAATAGGTATTACCATTACTATTTTCTTTCCCGTTTATTTTGGCCCCTACCTGTATTAGATACTTTCAAGATGTCTTTGCAGTTGCTTGCCTTAGCTTGTTACTGGGCCTCACACTGGGTTTGTGACAGCTAGACTGGCAAACAATATGAAATTTGAAGATGGTGGATTGAATTTTGTGCTTTAAGCTCCACAGAATACAGCTGAAACTGAAGTGCCCATCTTCTGTCCTATTTATGTTTTTATTTTTATCATCTTTTAGGCACTCAAGGAGTTGCACCTGGTCCTGTAATTGGACTCCAGGCACCATCTACTGGTCTTCTTGGCGCCCGGCCCGGCCTCATCCCGCTCCAGCGCCCTCCGGGAATGCCCCCACCTCACTTACAGCGGTTCCCTCTCATGCCGCCCCGTCCCCTGCCGCCGCACATGATGCACAGAGGCCCACCGCCAGGACCAGCGGGCTTTGCGATGCCTCCGCCTCACGGAATGAAAGGTCCCTTCCCACCGCATGGCCCCTTTGTTAGGCCTGGTGGAATGCCAGGGCTCGGGGGCCCAGGGCCAGGCCCAGGGGGCCCTGAAGACAGAGATGGAAGGCAACAGCCACCGCAGCAGCAACAGCAACAGCAGCCGCAGCCGCCCCAGCAACCGCAGCAACAGCAGCAGCAGCAGCCGCCACCATCACAACAGCCTCCGCCAACACAGCAGCAGCCGCAGCAGTTTAGAAATGATAACAGGCAGCAATTCAATTCAGGTAGAGACCAAGAAAGGTTTGGAAGAAGATCTTTCGGAAATCGGGTGGAGAATGACCGGGAACGGTATGGGAACCGTAATGATGATAGAGATAATAGTAACCGTGACAGGAGAGAGTGGGGAAGGAGGAGCCCTGACCGGGACAGGCACAGAGACTTGGAAGACAGAAATAGACGCTCTAGTGGGCATCGAGACAGAGAGAGAGATTCTAGAGATAGAGAGTCTCGTAGAGAGAAGGAAGAGACCCGGGGAAAGGAGAAGCCTGAGGTGACAGACAGGTCAGGTGGTAACAAAACCATTGAACCTCCCGTTAGCCAAGTGGGAAATGTAGACACTGCTTCAGAACTTGAGAAGGGGGAGTCTGAGGCCGCAGTCCTAAAGCCTTCTGAAGAGTTACCTGCTGAGGCTACCTCATCCGTTGAACCCGAAAAGGATTCTGGCTCAGCAGCAGAGGCTCCTCGTTAGAGACTGGAATTTGTGAAAATGTGACAGTGACACTTCCTGGAGTGTAGAGCTTGAGGTGTACAGATGCTGTATTATATCCGCTCCCGCTGTACTGCAGCCCCGCGCCAGCTGGTGGGGAACTGTAAGCAATTTGATTGCTTCCCTTCTATTTAAAAATAGCCACAAAATAACAAAAAATACTGAAAATATGAATAAATATTACCCTTTTTGCTGTAACTTTTTAAAAGTTTTGACTTTAAAAAGTTTACAAATCGTAATTAGAAGTGCTCTCTATTTTTTTTTTTTTTTAATTTAAGACAAGGTAACGGTGAAAGCTCCTCAAAACAATAGGGATGTTTTTAATAAACTCTATTTTCGTAACAAACTTTAATGTGTGCTATTCTTCCTACACTGCATTAAGGTGGAAAAGGATTGTTCACCGTCAAAGTTTGATCTGTTAATACTGTATTGGAGTCTAAATTAGACTTGACTTATGGAAATAGACACTTTATGTAGTTATTCTCACTTTCATATGTAATACTTTTGATTTTTAGGTAAAGGTTAGTTTAGTGTCAGTTGAAAAGCTGTGTTTGCAATTCAATTGAAGTTTTCTTTTTTCCTCATTGGCTTTGTGGTAAATATTGCCCTAATTAATTTGTAAGGAGATTTTGCTGGAGGAAGTTAGATCTTGGTGTTACAAGTTGTACTACAAATTATCTGATTGCCTGGGTATTACGTTGGAAGGTTGCGTGTATTTTTTTTTTTTTTTTTTTTTTTTTTTTTTTTTTTTTTTTTTTTTTTTTTTTTTTTTTTTTTTTTTTTTTTTTTTTTTTTTTTTTTTTTACCCATCCCATTAAATTTTTCAAAAGGGTAAAAGAATCAAGGTTAACATTTGCAACCTAAAAGGTTTTTGTTGTATGTTTGAGGACTTCACTGCAACCTATTGTTTTCTTATATAAGCCTTGCCTGTTGCCTTTACCAGTTTAATTCCCCTGCTGGGCAGAGGTAAACTGAACTTTTTCCCCACGTATACTTTCTTTTGCTTAAAGTTGCTGGGTTAACTGGGAAAAATCGTAGGTTGTCCAAGAATTATCACATGAAGACATTCAAAGCCAAGCCAAGCCTTCATCTGAAATTGCAGGAAATCCAGTGCCAAGAGCTGATGTTACACTATCCAAGTATTTATGGCCTCAAAGTTGTTTTTCATTACTTAAACTCTTAGTTTCAGTGTGCTGAGCAGTTAACTTTGTCTTTGCCTTCATCCTCAGGCAAAGCTGCTTTATTACTCTGGTTTTTAAATAAGATCTTTCATTTGATGGGGAGAATATATCTAGGGCAATGTCCTTATATTCCTGCTTTTAGAAAATGAGAGGAAATTGTTTTGCTTGCAAATTTAAATTATAAAACTTGTCCTTAATTTTACACTGTCCCACTGACAAGTTTAAAAGTCCTAACAAATGGGCTTCTGGAAGAAAACGTGATTACCCAACATCCAGACTTCAAGGACTTACAGCCTGTATTTCCAGTTCAAAGTATTGAGACCATCCTGTATGCACATGAATAAGCTACTACTAGTGTGATTTTACATGTGAAGCTTTAAAAGGCTTAAGTAGATCTCTTTGAGTTATTCCACATGTGCAACAAACTGCATTAGGGAAATATGTTAAATGCTGTTTTTTAAAGATTCTCTACCAAGATTTAAAGGATGGTTGTTTTCACCACTTACTGTGAGCATATTCTTTACTGTAATTTTAAAACTTTGGAAACACTACAAATTTGTCCTCAGTTTAGCTTTTCCTCTCCTAAATCATCTCTTACATTTGATAAAGTACATATTTATGAACAAACAGGATTGTCACTTATTCCTGGTTTATCAAATAATTTCCAATGGGATAAACTAGTCAAACCTGAGTTAGATTAACATTTAAAAGCATTCTCTCACAGGTACATAATACATTATGTGACTCAATTGCACTAATTCAGTGTGTAAATTCTTAAACAGCCAGAACCCACAATAAAGCATTTCCTTTGTTCCATCTTCTAATGCTACAGATTTCTTTAAAGGGCTAATTAATTAATATGTAAGTAGGTTGTGCCAACCTCTACCCTTGAATGTAGAATTTGTGCCATTCTGGCACATAGATAATCTTATTAGCTAGCTGAGGCTGTAACTGCCTTTTAAAGCTAAATGTTATCAATGGCTCTCTTACACCGTAACATCTTTTTAAAATAAGGAGGTACTTTATGAATGCTAAATGACTAAGCAGGGACATTTCCCTAAAGCTTACAAAGGACAGCCTATTGGTCTAAACAGTTGTGTTAGTTTCAGCTAAAAGACCTGCTGTTTAAAAAATATGCATTTTGATGGCCTCAAAACACTTTCAAAATAAAATGCTATCAGTTAATATTAGTAAATCTGTTCCACTGAAGCTGTTTATATAAATACCAGAGCTAATTTAATTTGAATTTGGATTAATAGGCTCAAAATAGGTGCCATGCAGGGTGTTTATTCACAGACTTGAATGAGAATTGAAATTCTGACAAGTTTAATACCCATCTGTGATTAAGTCTGGCGAAATACAGGCCACTGAAACATTTTAATTTGAGGTTTATAAAACTATACAAATCTTCCAAGTGATCATAAACCAGTTTCTCATTACAGGTACTTTAAAGCAGCTTTTTTAAAAAAATCACACAATTATGCTTTTAAGATTACAGTGTTTAATGTCAAGTTACATTTCTACAGCTAGCAGGATAACAGATGAGTTAACGGGACTCAGACTACATCCAGGGGAATGTTTACTGGGCGATCCCAATGACACCACAAGCCAAACGACTTCCAGCGTTTCCTGTCTTTGTACTTTCTTCATTTCCACCTTTGCCCAAGTCATCTGCTTTTTCATGGACCTGTAAAAAATTTTAAGAAGATAACTTTGGGCTGTCAAGTAATCACTACCTCTTCCCAACAATACCCAAAAGATGTTTAAGAACCTTGTAATATTAGAAAAATAACATTAATCCTACTAGTAGAGAAATATACTAACATTTAGTGGTTTAAAAGTAGAAACTACTACTAAAGGTTTTGTCTAGGTGTTGCAAAGACATTACCTTTAAACAATAGGTAAGTGTTGCTATGTCTAAATGAAATACTAAAAACCCAAATAACTGTTGTAGACCACCATGCTACTCTTAATCCTCCGTAAATTATAGTAATCTTAGTGCAGCAGTGACTCTTACTTTGGCAGTTTTTTTTATTGCTTTGGAAAAAAAGGAAAGTGAAAGTGAACGAAAAACCTCAAAATTTCACGCCAAATGAGCAACAGGCCTATAAATAAGATATAACCCTAAAAATACCTTCATGTTTTAGCAACAGTATTTTGAATTTTGCTCATCAAACCTTTATAAATTTTTCTGCTTTACAACTATGGCTCAAGAAAACCACAGAAAGGGTCACCTGAATGGAAGTGACTACTGACTATTAATGCCCTCAAGGGTAGGTAGTGAGAGACTCTGCTTGGCATTTGGCATGAACCAGATGCAGTTCCCCAGGATAACTTGGGGCAGCAGCTTTCCACAAGCTAAACCAGTCCTGATAACCTGCAGATCTGAGCGAACATGAATACTCGAGTCCATCCCAGGTTTTAAACTTACAAAATGTTCTGTTTAACACGTGAGAAAGCCAATACTGGCAAGAAAATCTGACCACTTTAAAACTAAACAATACTTCTGTCTTTCCCAGTTCAGATCTTCTGATATGCTCAAATGTAACCTGCTTTTTACTCCATCTTACCAGAACAGTGTTCTTAACTGACCTAGATAGAATAATTCATTTTCACTGTAATCGTCCAAAAACATTTGCTTTTCCCAATTTGAACTGCAAGTACAATTTATCTGTATCTTTAGAAACCACAATTAACAATCATGAAGTGAAAAGATACATGACTGTATGTTAGAGGAAGTTTTATGTATATCCTTTCATGAAAACTTACCACCAACGTGCGGCCAATGATGGAATGGTCTCCTGAGAGTGAGATCACAGAGTCTTCAATTGACACTTTGGCCACACCATCTTTACCAGCAGTCACATTGCCCAGGTCTCCAACATGCCTGATAATGAAAAAGCATCAGATGGATTAGGGCTCATGCCACTAAACATCAAGGTAGTTCATGACCTAAATTAAAACTTGACTGAGTAAACACAAATTTGAAAACAAGTAGCTAGGCATTCTAGACACGGCTCTTCCAACAAGGCTTCAAGTCTATAGACTAATGCTCTCGGAAGAAAGATGCGGGTGCACCTCGTTTCAGAAGTACCAAAGGGTAAACTCTCAGTTACTGAGTTAAGCCTGTTAATTTCTGGCATAGCTAACAAAGCTACGTCCCAGGGCCTCTGTTACAAAAATGATCTTGTCCTTTAATATTTTCCTGAAAGGCTTTCAGAAAAGACGCATACAAATGGAGTCTCGACTAGTTTTCAATTTCAATTTTTTTTAATCTAAGAAGCTTCCTATGTTTCATAATGATGACTGATTTTGCTAGTGGTTAACAGTACTGTTATTCATGACATTTCCTGTATTAGTTCCCTTTGGCACTTGTATTAGTTCTATATTCAATAAATGCTACAAAACCAAATCGTTTTAAGTGTCCCCATTTGTCAACTCCTTTAAGCCCAGCAATTAAGCATTCCAGCATTTGGGGGCAGGGGGTTAGATGAGAGTCAAGTTCAAAAGCAAAGGTGGGGAGAAGACGGAACTACCTTGGCACATATTTACAGTAGTACACCACACGGACTCCAGAAAGCTATCGCCATTATTAAGAGAGTTAAGCATCTTGTTGCTCACCTCTCTTCATCCTCTGGCCCACCATGTTTTCTGGAGAGAGGATTAAAGTGAGGACCTGCACTGGTACAGCCTATTTACAAGAAAAAAAAAAGCCAAATTATGAATTAAAGTTCCCAAATACATTCTAAAAATAAACACTGCAACAACTTCCAACAGAGAGAGCAAAGGCCTGCATCATGACTTCCAGGATAAGCAACACCTTGGTACCGGTACAGTGAGAAGGGAATAGAAACAAGTTCTATGGCCAGGCATGGAGGCTCACACCTGTAATCCCAGCACTTTGGGAAGCTGAGGTGGGTGGATCACCTGAGGTCAGGAGTTTGAGACCAGCCTGGCCAACATGGCAAAACCCTGTCTCTACTGAAAAAATACAAAAATTAGCTGAGCATGGTGGTGCACACCTGTAGTCCCAGCTACTTGGGAGGCTGGGGCAGGAGAATCGCTTGAGCCTGGGAGGCAAAGGTTGCAGTAAGCTGAGACCACACCACTGCACCCCAGCCTAGGTGACAGGGCAAGACTCCGTCTCACAAATAAATAAAAAGTTCTAACTACTGTCGGACACTTGTAAAGTTAATACCCTTCTCTGAACTTTGGCTTCTTCATTGTAAAATAAGGGGACCACACTGATCTTCAACAGTTTTTCTATTAAAATCCCATGGTTATCATCCAAATTGTTAAGAATGCAGTATTCTTTAACTACAAAAATCTCATCTCCCCAGCAGCATGCTATCAAGCAGTTCTATCTGTGCCCTTTACTTGGTGCAGGCAGAATATTCAACAGCATCTTATGTGCCAGGGCCAAGGCTGCTGCCTTACACAATTCCAGGGGGCGGCACATTCCAACTGTATCCTGCGTAGAAGCCACTCCTGTGCACCAGGGGATGACATTCATAGAGCACAGCCTCGGCGGCACAGGAGGCCCTTTCATAACACGGCTGTCTTCACTCAGCAGCTCCCCCACAGCCCAGGAGTCCCACACAGGAGAAAAGCAGGCAAGTTACAGGATGCGGCGGGGCAATCGCTTCCCAGGCCAGAGGCAGGGAAGCCAAAAAGCAACTTGGGGAATTTCAGCAATTTCGGAAATGGATCCAATTTGATCCTTCAAAATCACTATTTGGAACTAATTAGCAAGATGAATAAAGTTAATTTAAGGAGAAATCTATAAACAAAAAATTCAGATTATTACTCAAATATGGCAAAAGATCACTAAATGCAATTTAACCCATAAATGTTTGTGAACTTGCTTCGAATCCCAAATTAAGAAAATAAAACTCGGGCCGGGCCCACTGGATCACGCCTGTAATCCCAGCACTTTGGGAGGCCGAGGTGGGTGGATCACGAAGTCAGGAGTTCAAGACCAGCCTGGCCAATATGGTGAAACTCCGTCTCTACTTAAAAAAAAAAAAAAAAAAAAAAATTAGCTGGGCATGGTGGCATGGGCCTGTAATCCCAGCTACTCAGGAGGCTGAGGCAGAGAATGGCTTAAACCCAGGAAGCGGAGGTTGCAGTGAGCTGAGATCGTGCCACTGCACTCCAGCCTGGGTGACAGCTGTGAGACTGTCTCAAAAAAAAAGGAAGAAAAACTTGGCATTTCTCCTACTCTGGTTCAGGGGCTGTCTGATTTTTTAAAATACTTAAAATTTTTTTAAAAAAAGCTTATTCCAAAGCACCAATAATCACCTATCTACATTCCATCTTCAGTTTGTATCATACTTTTGTCCCACTAAGGAGCCTGTGTTTGGGGCATGCTCTTATATGGCGCTATGCAAATAAATACAGCCCCTTTGCTTGAGGCTCCCACCCTCAACCCCCAGCGCAAACACTTGGGGTCACCCCCAAGAGTTAAGAGCTCAACTTCTTATTTTCTATTGCATTCTTTAAAAAACACCCTCTACTACAACGAAGCCATAAGACAAAAAACATCAACTTTCCCCTTCTTTTCCACGCCTAGGTGTCGAAAAGACACCTGCCAGTTTTGCAGCTAATCTTAAGGTTGATCACAGTTATTTCACCTTGACTTTTTTTTTTCTAAAGATATACTACACCAAATCTTAAGACAAAGGACACTGAACATTAAGAAACAGGTGTACCCCAGTCTTCACAATCTAGTGCAATTACTTTTCTTCCTGTCTCACTCTGCTAGCATTATTACAAAAACCAAGATATGGTCCTAGTTTCTATAATTTTAGCACAGTGCTTATACAATAAAGTTGACCTCTTTTTTAAAAGAAGAGTTGAGGGTTTTACCAGGCACAGTGGCTCACACCTGTAATCCCAGCACTCTGGGAGGTCGAGGATGGACCGCTTCAGCCCAGCAGTTCAAGACTAGCCTGGGCAACATGATGAAACCCCACCTTTAGAAAAAATACAAAAATGAGCCAGGCGTGGTGGCGTGTAACTGTAGTCCCAGCTACAGGCCAAGGCATGAGGCTCACTGGAACCAGGGAGGCTGAGGCTAACAGTGAGCTGTGATCCCACAGCACCACTGCGCTCCAGCCTGGGTGACAGAGCAAGACCCTGTCGCAAAAACAAAAATGAGTTGAGAGGTTTTAATGTTTAGAGGCTACTGAGTTTATCTAACTAGGCTGAACAAGTATGGTTCACCAGCACAACACAACACCCACCTTGTGTATTATCTCCAAACTGATGAACATGGAATCCATGCAGGCCTTCAGCCAATCCTGTAATGCTTCCCCACACCTTAACTGGTCCATTACTTTCCTTTAATCAAAGAACAGTGCGAGAGAGTTACTGAACCAAGAAAACAGCTCATTTACCTTTACCCCTCACAGGCAAGTAAAAAACCAGACTCGGGAGTGGAAAAATCTGTGTCCAAATCCCAGCACCACCACTTTCTAGCCACTGAACCTCCAGCAAGCTGCTTAACTGCTCTAGGCCTGTGTCCTCAAAGGGAGATGGTAAACTTGTCCCGCACTCAATGCGCAAGTGCTGTGGCCAGGCTTTGTGATTAAATAACATAAAAAGCACCTAACAGAGTGGTAAGCATAGTGAGTACCTACACATCAGGGTTAGATACTTTGCAGGGTTTGACTATTACAGTAAAAATGTAGTATTAAGTACCTATTTAGTCAATGCTTTTGAACAGGCCGTACATTTGTACATGTTGAATATACACGTACATGTAAACCTTTTTAACCCAAAGGTGTATGTCTCAACCTACGCTCAGTAGTACCTTGCATTTTCTCCACATAGACACTCTTCCATACGGCATACAGACTTGACTCTTGAAGAAAAAGGCACCCTGGAAATATGTCCAACGGGCAGCCCTAGGACCCCTGCTCCCCACTCCCCCACTCAGTGAGTGTTTTTAAGTTTCCATCCTAGGTGTTTGTTTTTTCTTTTTTTTCAGATGGAGTCTCACTCTGCCACATAGGCTGGAGTGCACTGGCGCAATCTCAGCTCACTGCAACCTCCACCTCCCGGGTTCAAGTGATTCTCCCCCATCAGCCTCCTGAGTAGCTGGGATTACAGGTGCATGTAATAATTTTTCACATTTTTAGTGAACACGGGTTTCACCGTGTTAGCCAGAATGGTCCTGATCTCTCATGATCCACCTGCCCTGGCCTCCCAAAGTGCTGGGATTACAGGCGTAAGCCACTGCACCCAGCCAGGTATTCTTAATTAGCAGTCAGAAACTATCCTATTCCACTGCCTGTGGGAGAGGACTGATTCCAGTCTAACCAGATACTAGTGTTTTCTGAAATCTTTCCAAGCACTGAAACCTAGATAACCTTTCCACTCTACCAAGAAGACAAGCAGGGTCGCCATTCAGGTAACGGTGACAGGTGATGGTGCTGAGTGGCTACATACAGAAATCAAGGAAGTTACAACTAGATCTGACTAAAACAGACACAGCGTCCACACCACAGTCACACAACACGTTAGTGTCTCTTGTTTTTAGCTTGGTTTGTTTTCAAATAGTCAGGGCCAACAGTTAAGAGGCATTAGCCCTTAAGAGGTGACTTTCCACTGGAAAATACCATTGCTCAAACGAAGTCTTCTGGCAATTGCTGCCTTTTTAAATTCTTTTCTTTTTGAGAATAGATGCCATGACCCTTCTACAACCTTTAATTTTGAAAAAAAACTCAACTGTGAAAGTTGTCCCTCAAACACTCTTTGTTGTTAAGAGCACAGAGCCAAAAAGAGCAGATTCTTTCACACCTCCATTTAACGGGTAATGCACTGGGAACACGTAAGCAGCTGTGCTTGGGTACAACCGTACAGGGACCAGGCTGTTAACTTAGCAGAATGACACAGGCCTGGGAAGTGAAAAAATACACTGCTCCAGCTGTGCTGCCCTTGGGCCAATGAAGGCTCAGCATGAAAAGATCTCCAAAAACTCTCCAAGAGAAGCTAGGAAAACTGGACTAATTTATAGGTGAAAAATTCTGATTTGTAAAAGCTGGCAACAAGACCAAGATTTTAAACACAGAATGTGCCAAGCCAGGTAGTTTACAGCCAATTATCTCTGCATATCTGGAGAGCTGGAATGCTCCACCATCCAAGGCTCTTTCTCAGGTACAACGGGCATCACCAAAATGAAGCCTGGAGCTTAGAAGAGGGAACTAGGCAAGCTGCTCAGGGAAGGTAGAAAATGACAGAAACCTGGGTTCATGCATGGATTCTCAATGGCCAAGGAGAGGGCATTCCTCAGAGGCTCTTAAGACTAGTACTGGTGAATTATATGGGGAGAACTCAAGAGGGACAAAACAAAGTGACAAATGAAACCTGCAAAATGAAGTCAAATGGCAAAGAACCTTTTCCAGAAAATCTGAAGGCCTATTAAAGAAAAAAGCTGGCCGGGTGCGGTGGCTGACGCCTGTAAACTCCACCACTTTGGAAGGCCGAGGTGGGTGGATCACAAGGTTAGGAGATCAAGACCATCCTGGCCACCGTGGTGAAACCCCGACTCCACTAAAAAAAAAAAACAGAAGTTAGCTGGGCATGGTGGTGCACGCCTGTAGTCCCCAGTTACTGGAGAGGCTGACGCAGAAGAATCACTTGAACCAGGGAGGCGGAGGGTGCAGTGAGCAGAGATCGCGCCCCTACACTCCAGCCTGGGGGATACAGCGAGACTCTGTCTCAGAGAAAAAAAAAAAAAAGCTAAACTCGTATCTCCCTCACATAAATTTCAGACACTTACACAGACTGTTCCTGTCCTCTCCTGTTTCTGTAAATCCCTTTAAAGACTGAATCTCATTCATACAGTATATATTCTCTCGATTTTTAAGCCGAGTACGAGGACAATTTTCCACCAGTTGGTAACTTCGCTAAGGTTCTGGGGACAGTGTTATCACAACCGCCTTCGTGGCAACTCGTTTTACAATTTTATTGATAACCGTTCTGAAAATATTTCTGTATATTTTATTCTACAAGATTCGTTCAGAAGTTTGTCTCTGACCATCTTAGCAACCTGCCTAATGGCAGAGCAATTTTAAAGCCACTTTACAGAGAAGTTGGCTTCAGAAATGCTCCGACTACAGTTATTAAGTGCCAATTCGGTGTAATGGAAACTCCAATTCTTCTAATTTCCAAATCCTAAACCCACCCACTGACCTCAAACAACAGTTCTAAATCGTGCGTGCACATCAAAATCACCTTGGAAACTTTTAAAACCTGGCATTACTCGCCCTGCACTAGGGCAGGTTTGGATGTAACTGGTCTGAGGCTGGGTTCTGGTGTATTTTTAATAAGATCTTCAAATGAGGTAACTGTGTACCCAGAATTAAGAATCGCTGCCCTCAAAAATCCCGGAAAGAGTCAGTTAAATCTCTGGCTTTCGGAGCTTAGGAAGAGGAAAAGGACCTCTGTCCAAGGCTACCTTCTCTGCCCTTGCAGCCCAACCATGACCTAGAACAGACCCAGAACAGCCAGCAAACTTTCTTGCAAAGTGCCATACAAAACGGTCTCTGTTGCGTATTTTTCTTTTCCAATGTCGTTTAAAGATATAAAAAACATTCTTAGCCTTAGAGCTGTATACAAAAGCGGAGACTCCAAGTGGAGAGGGATGCGAAGACCAGGGGTCCCCCGGCGCAGTCGCCACCCCCGGGCCGGGCCTGGCACTGCGCCACTCGGCGTCTGCGGGACCCATAGAACGAGAACACCGCCAGGCAAGGGAGAGGCACAGCCGCTCCAAGCACCACGACCGACCCCGTGGCGGCGGTCCACGGACCCCCGAGGCCACCGCGCCCGCCCCCGCCCCTCCCCTCCCCAGCCGCGGCAATCCCTCCCCGCGCTCCTGCCACGCGCAGGCCCAGCCCCGCGGCGACCTCAGTCCCACACCCCGCGCCCGGGCCCGCCCGGTGACTCAGCACTTAGCGGACGCCGCACCGCAGTGGGCGAAGGCACCGACCGGGCGGTACGGGCCGGGGCCGGGGCCGGGCGCGGGACTAGGACAGCCCAGAGGCCTGGCTAGCGGTCCGCTCCAAGCACAGATGCGTGGGCGGGCAAGCTGGCGGGAGAGGTCTCGCCACGAGCCTCCGCCCCGGCCCTTGCCTTCTGCTCGAAGTTGATGGTGCCCTGCACCGGGCCGTCGCCCTTCAACACGCACACTGCCTTCATCGCCATCACTCGCGAGGCCACGCCTGGATCAGGGTTCCAAAGACTGTCGAGGAAACCACAGACGCTGCAGAAGAAAACGACGCAAGCCAGCCCAGGGCGCCGCGGACACTTTATAGGCCGGACCTCTGCGCCCCACCCACTCTGGCCCGGAACCAATCGCCGCGCGCGCGCTCAGCCCGCCTTCTGCGGCAGCCTCGGGTCGTCAATGGCCGGGACTGACCGGGGGCGGGGCCAAGGGGCCGCGTGCGCCGCAGACTTCCCCCGCCCCACAGCCCGGAAAGGTCCAGAAACCCGAAACGTGGAAAAAAAAAACACATCGTTTTCCAAACGGGCGCGTAGCCCGCCGAATGCAGGACGCGACATTCGCAAAATGAGATACAAACGGTACTCCTTGGCGATCTGAAGTCACTTTATCTAGAAATGTCATTAGTTATGACTGATTTTGGTCACAGCGTCTCATTTGTTACTCAGAAATTGGGGCGTACCAAGATGGATGCTTTTGTTGTTTTCATTTTTTTTGTCTTGGTGTACAGTTTTCTGAAGGTGTAGGAAGTCGTTACACCTCAATCCCCGGCCACACCTTTTCCTCCCCTGCAATTTTCTTAGTCCTTAGCACAGAGCTTATTTGGTTGGCAGAATTCCATACTCCTTTTACATTTTTCCTCTTTGGCAGGACCACAGCCCTACAGATAACCAAAAGGCAACTAGTTGGCTTCTACGCATCTCCTGCGTTTTTGTCTGGCCCCATGGCCACAACGCTCAAAGATAGAATAACAACATAATTTATGATCCCTCCATACAACAGGACGACAAAGATGACTTATCTTTCAAGGGAATATTTCAAAAACATATTATGAAATGAGAAAATAGTACAAACTACTTTTTCGGGGGAGGGGTGATTGTTCCTTTGAGACAAATTCTCGCTCTGTCGCCCAGGCTGAAGTGCAGTGGCACGATCAAGCTCACTGCAGCCTCCACCTCCTAGGTTCAAGTGATCCTCTTGCGTCAGCCTCCCAAGTACCTGGGACCACCGGCATGCGATACCACACCGGCTAATTTTTGTATTTTGACTAGAGACGGGGATTTCACCATGTTGCCCAGGCTGGTTTCAACCTCCTGAGCTCAAGCCAACCATCTGCTCTCCTCGGCCTTCCAAAGTGCTGGGATTACAGATGTGAGCTACCACGTCCAGCCTAGCATTTAGTTTTGAGCATGGCAAAATACTGAGATTTAATTCAAGTCCAGTATGAACAACAGAATTCACTCCAGCCTTGTTTGGAGTACACTATTATCTATGTATTTACTTACTTATTATGTTATTTAGACCCTCAGACTATAATGCATTCCCTATCAGAGAAACACAATTCACATTTTTTGATCATCCTCCAGGAAGTATGCATAATTGTAGTTTTGCTTGTTGTATTTAGTAGTTTACAGATATTTAGTATATTCTAGACGGTTACATAAACAGTGCAAATGCTGGCCAAATGGCCTTTGCCCAAAGCTGAAGTTTCTTTGGGTTCCAGGAAGTTCAGCAGATTTCAGTTCATTGTAAACTTGCCAAGGGAGCCACCCGTCGACACAAGAGAGCTGCTTTGGAACGGTGAATTACTCTTCTTTTGAGTGGTCTAATGATGCCAGGGTGGTGCCTTCCTACGATGATCCTTACATCTGAACAAGGGAGTCCCATTGTTTAAAAGGGTCGTGTTCTGTCCCTCTTCCAGCATCATCTCTCATGGAGAAAAGAATGTGTTGAGCCTGTATGCGGTGGCTCACGCCTGTAATCCTAGCAGTTTGGGAGGCCAAGACAGGAAGATCACAAGGTCAGGAGTTTGAGACCAGCCTGGCCAGCATGGTGAAACCCCATCTCTACTAAAAATACAAAAAATTAGCTGGGCATGGTCGAGCATGCCTGTAATCTCAGCTACTCGGGAGGCTGAGGCAGGAGAATTGCTTGAACCAGGGAGGCGGAAGTTGTAGTAAGCTGAGATAGTGCCACTGCATTCCAGCATGGGCAACAGAGCGAGACTTCGTCTAAAAAAAAATGTGTTGAAGCCAAGAAGGTGCTCCTCCCAAGAACATCGTCTCTCCTGGAACAGGGTTAAGGAATTTAACTTCGTGAAAATTAAGGGTATTTGCGTCTTCCTAATGCAGGATGTCAAATCTGGGCACTATGGATATTTTGGGCCAGATAATTCTTTGCTATAGAGGCTGTCCTGTCCACTGTAGGATGTTTAGTAGAATCCCTAGCCCCTGCTCACCTACTCACTAGATGCCAGTAATACCCTCCCCCTCCCTGCCAGGCTGGGACAACCAAAAATAATTCCAGACCTTGCCAAATCACTCTCAGTTAAGAACTACTGTTTATTTTTTATTTATTTAGATATGGAGTCTCACTCTGTCACCCAGGCTGGAGTGCCATGGTGCGATCTTGGCTTACTGCAACCTCCACCTCCCAGGTTCAAGCAATTTTCCTGCCTCAGCCCCCCGAGTAGCTGGGATTACAGGTGTGCGCCACCACACCCGGCTAAATTTTTGTATTTTTAGTAGAGATGGAGTTTCTCCATGTTGGCCAGGATGGTCTCGAACTTGTAACCTCAAGTGATCCACCCACCTTGGGAATCCCAGGCTTCCCAAAGTGCTGGGATTACAGGCATGAACCACTGTGCCCGGCGAAGGACCACTGTTTAGAACACCACTTGAGTACCAGCATCCCAGAATCTCCTGCCCAAAGAACCCTGAGTCTGTATATAGGATCCTGAACAGCGCAAGGACTGTCCCTCATTGAGTTCACTGCTAGCCTTGAACATAGGCCCCACCCAGTGCCACAAGCAGCAGGACTGGGGAAAAGAGCACAGGCCAGGGGCGGGCAGGCAGCCAGCTCACTACTGCCAGCCTTCTACACAGAACTGAAAGAAGTCCAAAAATTCCACGTTTGAACCTGCCTTCCAGGTCTTTATGAAGGTATATTTCTTAAGACAGGCTGATAGAACATATTTATGTAGCTGTGTCCTCGTGATTTATTATATCTAAGCATTTGGCATATGGTATAAGGGCATCTATCTGTGCTTTTGTCTCAGCCCTGCAAATGTTAGGGCAGGCCTGTTCATTCCAACCTGGAAACTCCATGATCCCATGACCGTGGGGTGCTCCTGCCTCATAATATATCACAGAGTCTGTGTGTTTCAAACTGGG